TAGCAACAACAAGAAGTAAATATGAAATTGCAAACCTAACAAAAGCATTCATACAAAAACCAAGCTCCTTATTAGAAAGATCTATTAGCTAATGCACCATGGAGTCAATTGAGTTATATATAGGCATAAGAGAAGTAAACAGCCCAAATGATAATGAAAAAAAGAATAAAACTAAAATGGTCATATAAAGCTACAAACCTGGATTTCCTCTTCCAAAGCCTCTACTGTTGTATCTTCGCCAGAAAGAGTAGCACTACTTTGAGCTTTCTAACAAAATGCACATTCAGATATTTAATACTGTTAAAAACTTGATAACAAAAGGGTCAGACTCCAGAGCAATTTACTGACCTTATTGTCAAGATGGCGGAGTGCAAGAAAGTATGATTCATCTTTCAATTTGCAATAGAAATCCACAAGATTATCCAGCTGGACTTTGGTCAAGGAATTTTGAGGTGAATGTTCAAGATTAGTAATAGAAGTTTGGTCCTGATCTCTTGAAACAGCGTCCTTAAATTCCCAGGTATCATCATCAAAATCATCATCACCCAAAACAGACTCCAACACTGTTGAGGCAGGATGCGGAGGATTTTCAGTTGCTTTTGGGGCATGAATTGCATTAGTGTTCCGGTCCACTTGACTGTATAAGCTTGATATTAGATCAGTGATGGATATATTGGGCACAGGGCTTTTGGCGGTATTTATTTGGTGGGATACAGCTGCATGAGTAGAAATATCTTCACGGATTGAGGAATCATCAGTCTCCAGTTCTTCGTCCCCAAATATGGACAGGGGCAAGGCTTGCCGATGACTCTCCAATGTTACCTCATTGTGCTGTAATATAGAAGGAAAACAATTACAAGTTAGTAGATCATAATTAATAGAAACTTCAACAACATACACAAAAGTTTGCTAACGAAAGTTCAAGCATTATGACGAAGAATAGATGCTGTAAAATTCCTCCTTGCATAGCCCACCATCACCAAAAAAAGAAAAAGAAGAAACAATGAATTCGAGTGTACACTAATACAATCGTTTAAACACCACGATGGTAAAGTTGCTTTAGATAAATAAAGAATATGCAATATGCTCTCACTATGATGGTTATATACATCTCAGTTAAATATCAAAATCATACAGAACTTCATCAATAAAATATATATCTGGAGTAAGCACCTGGATTTCATCACTAATTGCAGGCGGTTTTATATTCGTAGGAGGATTACGGGCAATCACTGACTCCCCCTAAAATCAAAATGGAAGTATGACTATTCATTTCTGTTGAAAGTTTTTAAAGTAACTTTAAAAAAAAAATGCATATAAATCAAGGTCAAACTAAATCATCTACCTCAAGCTTTGATCCAGATTCTGAAAATGCATCCTTAAATTCCCAAAAATTGTCATCAGACTCAACATGGTCATTGGCTGGGGAACAACTCGAGCCCTTTGCAATGTCATCTTTCTTGTCACTGGAATATGAATCTGAGACTATAAAATCTTCAGTGCCAGAATTTGGGATGAAAGGAAATGCAAAGTTATTTTCACCAGACTTGTGAGAAATTCCATCAGATCCAGCAAAAAACTCATTATGAGCACGAGCACTAACACCATCTAATGAGTGCACATCTAAACCAGAATGGATGGCAGCCTTTGACTCTCCCTACAACCAAAAAGTAAGTATTATAAGACATGCTCGTAAAAAGTTAACATTTTAATAAACCAGACCAAAACTACAAAGCCAAATCACACTAACACACCAACTTATGCTTTGATCCATTTTCTGAAAGTGCATCCTTGAATTCCCACACATTTCCATCAACTGGAGAAGAATTGGGTACAGTTTCAGCGTTGTTTGGCTTGTTCTTTGAGTGCAGATCCAAGAAAAAATTATCTTGAGTTACAGGGCTTGGGTTGAAATCAAATGAAAAACCCCATTGATCATTTCCATGAGATGGAACAGAGACATTATTAAATTCAGGAGCATCAATTCCAAACCCCCAAGTAAGTCCAGTTCCCCCAGTATTTTCCTGCCATTCTCATCAACATTCAAATTAGGATATGTCAGACTTGGTGGCCCAAATGAAAATCCGACTTCTAATGTCTAATGGCATGGTACAATATTCCAATGTTTAATGGCAAAATTAAGTTCCTATGTGAATGCGCAATTGCAAATTGGACCCTAAAGAACAAAGACTGATTGAAATGTAAACTAGCTCAAAATTTCCAACAAAATTTCAAAATGGTGGCACAAAAACAACATAAAAACAAAACATGCAACATAAAACAATACCCGCCTGGATTCCTAGGTGTGTGAATGCATTTGGTTCTACTTTCGATCCTGCTACTTCCACAACCCCTTGTTCCTGATATGAACAGTGAAATCAAAATAATAAACAAATAAACAAAAACAAAGGCAAAGGTCATAGCTTTACCAATGCTCCATTTGGTGTTAAGCAATACGTATAAGCAGATTCAAAAGCTAAATGGAATTGTTCGTCACTTATCCACCTAGAATTCACTCATTTCAAAACACACAGAGCGAGAGAAATTCTAATATCCTCTCATTACAGTTTTCTCTGAAAGCAAACAGAGTGCAAACTCTAAACAAACAAGATCAATCAAATCACCAAAGAAAAAGCCACCTTACCTTAAAATTCTCATTGCTAACCTGGCGCTCTGAATCCGCAGCTTTGAATTCCCAACCATCATCATCCTCCTCATCAAAATCCCCATTTCCTTCCTCCCAATCGAATTTCAACCCATTTGCATTCGAATTCGAATCTACACCATCAAATTTCAAATCCAAACCATTCGAAACACCAAATTGCCCATTTTTGTTGGCACTCAGAGGATCAAATTTCAAATCCAACGCATTGGCACTAAAATTCACCCCGTTTTTGGTCGAATGAGGAGTTCCAGACCCCAAATTCGAATGCGAATCTACACCATCAAATTTCAAATCCAAACCATTCGAAGCCGAATTCAAACTACCAAATTTCCCATTTTCATTTGGAATCAGTGAATCAAACTTCAAATCCAACGTATTGGGACTAAAATTCAACCCCTTTATGGTCGAATTAGGACCACCAGACCCCAAATGCGAATTCGATCCATTTTGAACCACGAATTTTGGATTCTGACCATACAAATTCGCAATCAAATCGTTAATCCCAACACTACTCACATTCAAATTCAACTCGTTTTTTACAAATCCCTCATTTTTTGTCAAGCCGGTCGCAACGTCCCCAACCCTGGACTCGCCCGCACCAGACTTCTCTTCTTCCTGCTCTTCCCCAAATAACGATAACGGCAGAGCTCCCTGAGGCTTCATCCAACGAGTCTTGTCAACCTTCTCGGGCTCAGTGTCAACCCGGCTTGGCTCGGAATTGGGTCGGGAAGGCGCCGACCCATTAGCAATGTTGAAAAAACCGAAAGGGTCGTAGGGTATTTGGGTGGGAGGTGATTGGGAGTATGTGAGTCCATTGGAGAGCACGGCCTGAGTTTTGATCTGACTTGTATTGTGGGTTACGAAGTCGCCCCAATCGTCATCTGAGACGGTCGAAACTCGTCCATTGATCTTGGGATTGGGATCGACGGCGGTGACGAACTTGAAGTCTCCGAAGCCCTCGGCGTCGTCGTCCTCCGCCATTGCTCTGAGGGCTTTGAAGCTCTCTCTCTCTGTTTCTCTGTGTCTATGGCTTTGGTGTTCTCTGTTTCGCGCAGGTTTTGGTTTTGTTGCTTGTGGGAGTCTGACGTGGACCATCGATCCAATACAGCTAAGCCAAAGTTTTTTGTTGTTGGAAAGAATGAGAACTGAGAGTCTACGAAATCTAAACATATTTGGACGACATACATTAGAGGTAAAAAACAATTAGAATGTATTTTCGTTTTAAAAATATCATTCTATTAAATTCATGTTTTTGATTGAATTTTTCGAGTAATTTGTCATTTATTCATTCGTCCTTTGATAGCGTACTTAGAGCATCTCCAATAGATATGTCAAATTGTCATATGAACATAAAATAGCAAAAATTGAAGGTTAAAGTTGCTGTAACTGAGTAGTTAGATCCTACGTGAATTTAAATGTTGGAAGAGATATGTCAAAAATAACAAATCAAAAAGCTTGATGTCAAACATTATTTTGATTTTTTTAAATCATGAATCTCACTATTATTTACTCTATTTTTTAAATTTTATGCTTCATATGGGTCCAATTTGTTTTTAAATATATAATAAAATAATATGATATTTGATATTTGTAGAGTTAAATTTGTTCCAAAGTGTCAAATTAACACATAAACTATCATATTCAAATTTAACATTTTGCATTTGACATCTCCAAGATGCTCTTATGAATGTGTCCATAATTTTATACTTATATATAAACAAATATATTAGAGTTAAAAATTTAAATTAAGTTTATATATACCACTTGAATTTAATGGAAATTAATTTTATTCAAGAATGGCAATCCAAGGTTTAAAAAAATGGGAAGATAGTATTTGTTATTTTTTGGAGTCATTTTCAACCACTAAGCCCAAGCATATGTGTATGTTGTCTAATTATTTTATTTTATTTTAGTGATGAAAGCATGTTGTCTATGTCTAAGATAAATTGGCCGAAAGGTGGCGAAAATTGGTCATAAAGAACACACTCGCCGGGAAATGTCTATACCGGCTAATATTTGTCGGCAAAGAATAAACTTCGCCGGGAGAGGTTGATCCCTACGAAAATTGTCGGGAAAGAGCCAACTTTGCCGTTGAAAAGAATGAGAACTGAGAAATAATTGCAACGACAAACAATTACATCATACTTTTAAATCAGAAGAAAAAGTTGCACATTCTTACAATAGTGATTAAGAGAAGGGTAAAATCACATCATTATTTTTTCACAAATTCCACCAACACATAATCAGAGAAAACAGGAGAGCAATTCAGCAGAGCAAAATCAAGAACAACCCCAGCAACATGGCCATCATGTAATGAACCATGCCAATTGCAGCCAAAGAAGGAGCACCAGAAAAGCTTCCACTTTCTGTGTCAGTGCTCAACACAACCACCACCCAATCATCCTCAGTGCCAACCCCAGCTCCTGTGTACTTAGAACCATTCAGATATTTGGCATATTGGGTGTGAGTGTAGTTTTTTATCACAAGATCTGGGTCCCAGTTGGGCACACAAACGGGCAAGATGATACCATCTGTGGTGGTGTTGATGTCTATGTGGCACTTCTTGATGAGCTTGTTGAATTTTGGGAATTTTGGGCCATTGCCTGGCTCTATGGCGTAGTCGTCTGCACTGGAACATGGCTGGTCTTCTAGCTCATCTGCAATTTCATCAGCTAGACATTCTGCATTGCTGTTCTTCTTTAGTGATTGCTTGAAGCTGTTAAGTCCTTGGAAAATTTTGTCTTCTTCTTCTGCAAACCAAGAAATAAGTACACTTTCTGTTTCTCTTCAAACAGACTAAAACAAATATGGAAAAATGGGAGACAGAGAAAGAGAATACCATTACAAGATGCTGGATGAGAAAGAAAGAGCAAGCAATTGAGAAGCGCCAGGAGAAACAAGCTCAGTTTATAAGAGGCCATGGTTTCAGTGCTTGCTAGGACAAGGCCTTGTGACAAGAGGGTAGATAAAAACACACCAGAGGGAAAGAATAAGAAGATGGCTTGCGGTTAAGATTTTCTTTTAGAGACTTTGAGCTGAATATTGTTCCTCAATTCTTTGCTTTCTGTGAGTTGCCTTGGCTGCCAAGTTGTTCCAGGTGCAATCTCTTTTTGTTCGTTATACATAACTTGGAAAAGTGGATAGAGTTGCTTCTCTCTCTCCCTCTCTCTCTCTCATATCTCTTGCCTAGAGAATTCTGGTTGACAAATCTTATTCAGAAATGGCATAGTTAAGATCTATGTACCTTTTAGCTGAGATACTACAAAGATGCCCTGCCTGCATAATTACATATCTAATGCAAATAACAGATTGAAATAAAAACATATATAGTTCAGGAATTACATACAATCTGAATCCTTCCATCAAAATACACTCATATAAAACTACCAAAAGTTGCATATAAGGTACAACATAACAAGAACAAGAGCAAAAGACACAACTTCAACTTCAGCTAACCAAGATAAGAGATACTCCTAACAACAAGAAGACCAAATAATGTCCAAAACCGAACATTGAAACTAAAGATCCTGCTGCATTAGCAAAGTTTCCACTTGGGTTAGATGAGGCCAAAACCACCACAGCCCAATTATCCTCAGAGCCAACCCCAACCCCACTGAACCTCGAATCGTTCAGATACTTTGCGTATTTTGGAGAGTGAGTATAATTGGTTAGCACCAGAGTTGGGACCAATTTAGGCACACAAACAGGCAAAATAACCCCATCTTGTGTGCTGTTGGCATCGATTTTGCACTTCCTTAAGTGCTTGGGAAGATTGGCGAGTGGACTCTGGGAGCTAGGCAGAATGTTAGCACCGTTGGTGGGGCTGCTGCAAGGCAGGTCCTCTATTTCATCAGCAATTCTATCTGCTAGGCAACCTGCGTTATCGTTCTTGACGAGGACTGGCAAGTTTAGTGATCTTCGGTAACTGTTAATGCCTTGGAGAAGATTGTCCTCATCTTCATCTGCAGGCAAATAGGTGTGTAGTAAGCTTCAGAATTGGTTAGCCACATAAAATCTGAAATCATACCAAATGCGACAAGTTTGGTCCTCAACTAACTTAATCACCAACTGAAGCTGTCCAATATCATTAGCAAAATCTAATAACTAATAATCAGGCTTGTCCTGCTATACATGCATGCAGAGAGCAGAGTACATATACAACTCAAATAATTCCTCACAGAAAAGAATGACTTCAAGAAAGAGAAAGGGAAAGGAAAAGTGAGCACATACCACTACCATGCACAAAGGGAGAAAGTAAGAGAAAGGCATGAAAAAGCACAAAGAAGAAGAAGCTAAGTCTGATCAGGGAGGCCATGGTTTCAATTAATGCAGAAAGTCCTTTTGTGAAAGTTAGAGAATAAGCTTTAGATAAGAATGTACCAGAGACAGAGAGAGGTGGAAGAAGTGAAAGACTTGAGATTATTTTATGAGGTGGTTTGAGTTGAAAGAGCTTCCAGGTGTTGGAAGTGTTGATCAATTGCACAACGATAAGCTTCGTGTCAGATTGACAAGTATCAGTTGCTTGGCCAGTTGGCCTAGCACGTGGACAACATGCAAAGGCATGCCCCCAAAACCCAGAAAAAAACATCGAAGAAAAATCAGTTACCTCAAACAATCAAAGGCTTTGGTTCAAGTATGCTCTGTTCAAGACTTCATTTTTTTTTTTTTCCTCTGTTTCCTTCTCTAGTGTTATGAGCCCCATCCTGATCACTCCAGGAAGTCTCTTGATTTTTTCACGCATGGCCATGTCAACACAACTGTCCCCTTTCACATATGTTCACTCTGCATGTAAAGGTCAGGACACGTAGAAACAGCTCCCTGCCACCTGTTCTTCCACGTGTCAATTCAAATTTCTATATAACCCCATATCAACATTTTGCACTACCACAACACATAGTTGATCACTATCCTCATCAAGAACCTTAACAAGCAGATCATCAGTGTTTTCTTGTTCTAAAAAGTTTCGAGAAGAACAATGGCTTCAGGTGGTAAACAGCAATTCCCACCTCAAAAACAAGAGACTCAGCCTGGGAAAGAGCATGCCATGGACCCCACCCCTCAGTTCACAAACCCAGATTACAAACCCTCCAATAAGCTCCAAGTACTTATAATTTTTGTTATATATAGTGATAGGTGCTTAATTAAACTTAATTACCAGCTAACAATTAAGTTTTGCAGGGGAAAATAGCGCTAGTGACAGGTGGTGACTCTGGGATAGGGCGAGCTGTGTGCCATCTCTTTGCTCAAGAGGGTGCAACTGTGGCCTTCACATATGTGAAGGAGCAGGAGGACAAGGACGCACGTGACACAATGCAAATGATCAAGCAGGCCAAGACTTCTGATGCCAAAGACCCCATGGCACTAGCAGCTGATGTGGGTTATGATGAAAACTGCAAGAAGGTCGTTGATGAGGTGGCCAAAGCCTATGGAAGCATTGATATTCTGGTTAACAATGCTGCCGAGCAATACAAGGCAAGCTCAGTTGAAGATATTGACGAACCCCGTTTGGAGAGGGTGTTCAGGACCAACATATTTTCTTATTTCTTCATGACCAGGTAAATAAAAACGAAACGAAAACGAAAGCTTTACCAAACGAAGCCCTTGACATTGACAACATTTTTATTATGTGCTAGGCATATTTTGAAGCACATGAAAGAAGGTGGCTCCATAATCTGCACAACATCAGTGGTGGCCTACAAAGGAAATGATAAGCTGCTTGATTATACTGCAACAAAGGGTGCCATTGTGTCCTTCATTAGAGGACTTGCACTTCACCTAGTAGGCAAAGGCATACGTGTCAACGGTGTGGCGCCTGGACCAATCTGGACCCCGTTGATCCCCTCATGTTTCGATGAGGAAGAGACTGCACAGTTTGGCTCTGAAGTGCCAATGCAGCGCGCTGGGCAGCCGTTTGAGGTTGGCCCGTCCTACGTCTTCCTTGCTTCCAATGCTTTCTCTTCCTACTATACTGGCCAAGTTTTCCATCCTAATGGTAATGACTATTTGTTCATATAAACATTTAGTCTGACGTGCTGCTGCACCCTTGTTTGTATAGTAATTTTGCTACATATTTATTAAAAAATTTGCCAATTTTTGTGATTTTGCAGGTGGGGTTATTGTGAATGCTTGATGGGGTTTGACGGAAGGAATCTTTTAGTTGGTGGCTTTTTGTGTTTTGGGTCATAATAAAGTAGCTAGTACTATGTTCTTGTAAGGGTAAGAGTTGTGTATGCAGAGAACGGTGATGAAATGGGTTAATTTGTAAATGTCTGCTTCTGTATCTATTAGCTCAGGTGTAATGTATGTACATACTGTATGCGCTCTTTGCTAATAAAACAAATAAGTTAAAGAGTTCATAAATGTATGATCTCTGTGCAGGACTTACAAAGTTGAATGTTAAAATTATTTAATTACATCACTCCCCAAAATATATGAACATTTATTTCTAGTATCACAGCTGAGAAGAACCAAAAAAAGAAAAAGAAAAGAAGCTGTGTGTTCCCTTCAAAAGTTTGAAGGCGAAATGCATGCACTCAGATTTAAAATACAGAAGACAACAAACCAATTTACAGATCAGTCAGCAATGTAGCTCAGATCTTAATAATTTCCACACCAATGGCATCATAAGTTTTGTTCTTCAAGCCCTCCTCATTTCTCCTCCTCTGATTTGATCTTCTGGTGTGAGTTATGTCAATGTTTCAGAGGATATTATTAGCCCATCATCCTGGTCACTCTAGAAAGCCCCTCTTGATTTCAGGCATGGCCATGTCAACAAAGCTGTCCGCTTCCACAGATGTGCACACTGCATGCGACTGTCAGGACACGTAGACACTGGTTCCCTGCCACGTGTCAAATTCAATGTCCCTATATAATCCTGTTGTCCAAATCTTGTGTACCACTTGCATGCTTTCCCTTTTAGTTTCCTCATTATCAAGAGCCTTAGCAAGCAGATCGTCAGCTTTTTCTTCCTTCTCTCCCAAAATCCACCTCGGAAATCACTGGAATATTAAACCACGCTCTCCGGCAACTTCTTTGAAAAGTCCCATTTGAAGAGTTTTTGGAAGACCAATGGCTTCTGGTGGCAAGCAGCAATTCCCTCCTCAAAAACAAGGAACTCAGCCTGGGAAAGAACATGTCATGGACCCCAATCCTCAGTTCAAAAACCCAGATTACAAGCCCTCCAATAAGCTCCAAGTATCATCACATATAATTCAGCTTAGTTAAGAGCTTAATATTAATTAGTAGCTAATAATTTTGTTTTGCAGGGGAAGGTGGCGCTAATTACAGGAGGGGACTCTGGGATTGGTCGAGCTGTGTGCTATCTGTTTTCTCAAGAGGGTGCAACTGTGGCCTTCACATATGTGAAGGAGCAGGAGGACAAAGACGCAAATGACACAATCCAAATGATTAAAAAGGTGAAGACTTCTGATGCCAAGGACCCCAAGGCCCTTGCAGCCGATCTGGGTTATGATGAAAACTGCAAGAAGGTTGTTGAGGAGGTGACAAAAGCCTATGGCCGCATCGATATCCTCATCAACAATGCGGCCGAGCAGTACAAGGCGGGCTCTGTGGAAGAAATTGATGAGCCCCGTTTGGAGAGGTTTTTCAGAACCAACATATTTTCTCATTTCTACATGACCAGGTAAATACAAATAGAAAACCAGAATGTTACACCAAACATGGTCTTAACATTTTTACTGTGAATGTGTTAGGCATGCTTTGAAGCACATGAAAGAAGGCAGCTCCATAATTTGCACAACATCAGTGAAAGCCTACAAGGGACACGCCCAGCTGCTTGAGTATACTTCCACCAAGGGAGCCATTGTGGCATTCATTAGAGCACTTTCTCTTCAGCTGGTAAGCAAAGGCATTCGTGTCAACGGTGTAGCTCCGGGACCCATCTGGACACCGTTGATTCCGGCATCTTTTGATGAGGAGAAGATTACACAGTTTGGCTCCGAAGTGCCAATGCAGCGAGCTGGACAGCCGTATGAGGTTGCGCCGGCTTACATCTTCCTTGCTGACAATGCTTTCTCTTCTTATTACACTGGCCAAGTTCTCCATCCCAATGGTAATGATCTGTCTGTGATAATGCATTTGGTCTGATGAACACCCACCCTTGTTTGTATTTTAATGGCTATTTTGTGATTTTGCAGGTGGGGCTGTAGTGAATGCGTGATGAGGTTTGTGGAGGAGTCTTTCGGCTGGTGGTTTTGGGTCTTTTGAGTCATAATGTGTTAGCTAGTTTCTGTTTCCTTGTAAGGGTAAGAGTTGTATATGTAGAGAATGATCATGGAATGGTCTGTACATGTGCTTTCTGCTAATAAAATATGAAAAGAGTTTTAGTTATGTTGCTGGGTGTCTGTTTGACATGTAAAAACAATTCTAAGCTCTGCGGAGCATAACATTAACAAACAATTCAAGTCCGGCCTCAAGGAATTGCATATATGTGCAATGCAACGATCTGGTTTTTGTCACAAGAAATCTATGCAGAATTTGCAAAGTCGAATGTAACAATAGGCATTGCATCACTTCCCCAAAAGATAAAACATTTATTTCCAATATCACGAATGACAAAAGTTACATTGATTGACTTGCACCGAATTGGCATATATTTAAATTATTAATTTGGAACAAAAAAGCTGAGAGTTCCCGTCAAATAAGCTTGAAGACGAAAGTCGATCAGATTTGAATGCAGAACACAATAAGATAATTTACAGATCAAACAGTGCTTCTGCCCTACCAGTCAGCAATGGAGCTAGATCTTACTCTCACCACTTGAGATTCAGCTTAAAGGTTAGGATGAATCGCCAAAGCAAATTTCAACACCATTTCCACCAATGGCAGCCGTCAAACAATGGAACCCACAAGACTCCAGTTCAGAAGTTACTTTATCAACAACAGTTCCTGATAACACTGATTCATGTGGTTAAGAGAAACAATGTTCAAGACATGAGAAAATAAGAAAATTGTTTAGGCAAGCTAGTCTATCTAGCTTCATATAGTCAAAGACTTTTTAGGCAAGATAGTTTAATTTTGGCAAAATTTTGAAAAATTCAAGCTCATTAAACCATATCAAGGCATTCATCATGAACTGTAAAGATAAGAAACTAAAAATAAAAGGAATCACAAAAAGGATACAGGTTGGTAATAGTGTGAGAACACAACCTCCACCCCCAGCTCCTGTCAATTTCGAAGCTAACTTGTATTTGAGCGTTGTCCGAAGAACGGTTTCAATTGAAGCATGGCTGACCCCCATACATTGGAGCAAACCTTGGTTCATTTCCATCAACTCTTCTATTTTTGATTCCTTTTCAGTTAAGGAGAGATCATCAGGAGCGGGTGATCGGATGATCGCAGCCAATTCCGTGCTGATAGAATCAACTGCATTGAACACAGAAGCCATAGCTTCTGGATGCCTTAAGGTCCTCTCTGAAACACCAGCAACTAAGGCCTTTGTGTTCCTCCCAACTTTTGTGTTGGTAATAAGCATTTTCAGTGTCATATTTGTTTTGATGCGAGTTAGGCTACCTGATTTGAACTTGATCATATTGCCTGTTGCATAAGAATTTTGCGTTAGAAAATCAAATGCAGTTAATCCCTTCCCTTGAACAGATGAGGAAACTAAATACTCCATGGTTAACATTTGAACTCTAACAAACATGTCAACCTGAATCACTATAATTAAAGGTTATTCAGAAGTTTCTAGATTAATCACGATGAACCCAAAATGAGAATCCATGACCCCTATAAAATCCCACTCAATCTTCAAATTGAAGTTTTCTTAAACATTATGCAAAATAGTGTAGTCTTTTACAGCCTATATATAGAATAACTAAGCATACTTAAGATGAAGATTTAGGATCAACTGGTTTGGTGGGTAAGGTTAATTGCTATAGTATCCCTAAATATCTGATTACCTATTTGAAAGGAGGCTGCTGACAAGCAGCTTGAAATGCAGAAATTCAAAATTACACAGTTCTGGGTGAACCCAAAAGAGATCCGATTAAGAACTTCAGGATCCAATGTGGATCTAGTTGGATTATCGTCAAGGTACTAGCAAGCACTAGTAAAGTAGTTCCTTCATAAATGAAAAATGGTGGCTTGGACAGCATTGACAAATTTCCCTTTTACCATTAGCTTTTGGACATCATTCATATTTAATCCAGAGAAACTATATATCTAATTAATTCCAGCATTTTATAATTCAAAGATTCCAGGAAAGAAGATTAGCAAAAGAAGAAGAAATGAGATATTGATGCAAGAAGATATAATTATCTGACACAAGTCAAAAACTAACATACCATATGTACTAACTGTATTGTCAATTCCAGATGGCTTTCCATGGATAATCCTTTCACCTTCAAAAGCCCATTTGTTCAGCAATTCAAGTTCACTTTCCCCAAAAGTTAACCACCCTTGGTGGCTCAAATCCAGATTTACAGAGTCTGAGAAAGAAAGAAGAGCAGCTGACAATGCAACACATAATGCTGCAGATGAACCCAGGCCTGAACCCAAAGGAAGTTCAGACGTAATAACAACAGTCGCAGGCTTATATCTGATCAATAAAGAGAAGAAATTAGAAATTAAGAAAATAAAAATAAACATCCAATAACTAAAAGCATTCAACTATATAAACAAAAAATGGACACACACCCTTGTATAGATGAATACAGCCAAAGAAAAGCCAACACTCCAGCACCAAGTCCAATTTTTGCTTCTGGAATCTTTAGTTCATCAACTAAAGCAGCAAGTGATCTAAGTGACTCTATTGAACATGAGGTCGGCACTGATGAGTTGGGAATATCTTTTTCTGATAGTGCTTCTTTAATTCTACCAATTGGCCATGAAAACTCTAATCCAACATCCTTGAGCTGGAGTCTTAGTGCATCATCATTGTCTATGAAAAAAGCAGGAAACAGCAGTGAGAAATTCATTCAATATCACTTGAGGATATGAATCCCATTAGTTTCCAGATCAAAAAAGTTATCGTTCTTGAAAACATATCCCTGAAAGTAATCAGATTTCTAATATCACATAAACCCTGCAACTAGGCTAGCAGAGTAATCCACGAAATAGATTTATACATCATATCAAAAGGGTTAATCATATGATTTCAAGCAATCCAATAGGCAAATGGTTAAGCTCACACAAAGACAAACTTTTGCATTGGTAAAATCACAAAGCACCCATGAACCCAAGTAGAAATAAGTTTCAGATACACAATCATCTCATTCAAAAGAAAATACAATAATGATTCAAGGAGAGACACGGTTAACAGAACTCAAAATTGTATCTTCCGAATGACATCGCAACCATAACCCAAATCAAAACCAATCCCAAAGGCACCAAAACCAGAACAAACTAAATAAATAAATCGATAGATGGAAGAAAAAAGAAAAAGAAGAAGAAGAAACCCAAAATAGCAAGAGAGAGATAGAGCGTACCAGAAGGAGTGGGAAATCGAAGAGAGACATAGGTGTAGAGGTCAATGGAGGAAGCAACGGCTGTAGATCCATGAACAACAGCATGTTCACCCGAGAGGATGATTTTCCCAGGAGCTCTAGCTTTCACTTCCATTATTCTCTTCAAAATTCAGTTGAATTCCACAACCAATCTGGTTATTGATTGAATTTCCCTGTGGTTCTTTTGGTGCTAATTACTTATAAACAAACAATCTCACTGACTATGAATGTGAGTGTGTGTGTTGAATTAAATCAGTTAAATGTTGGAATATGAATTTATTTGATCCATACTCGTTGGAAAGGTCGCATTTAGGCTGCTGCTGCTACTCAACTCAACGCTGTTGGCCTCATTATAAAAAGGGGTCCTTCCGATTCGCTTGTTTGGCTTCTTCTTTTTGCCATGCAGGTGGTGGCGCGTGGATCAACGATCCGCGGGGACCAGGCCACTGGGTTGGTGAAGAAAGGGCAAAATTCGGTGATTGGGGCCTTTTTTTTTTTTTTTTTTTTTTTTTTTTTTTTTTCCTGCCAAGTCAGTCTCGTACACTTTTTTGTTTTGTTACATAAGAAAATTTCACCTTTGTATACAGGGGTTTTTGGCAAATTTGCATCCAATTCAAGTGCAAATTTGAAGCTAGAATCCAACTGAATTAGATTGGCTTTCTACGATCAATTTCATAATGATGAAATTATATCAACTTGTGAATTTCGTCAGGTAAAATCCTTATCTACGTGATTAGTTGGAGACATCAAAATGGTGTTATTCTTGTGACATGCAAGTTTTTTTGCAAGCACTGATAGACAAAACAAAGGAAAGTATATAAAATTGTATGGTATACAAATTCCACCCATAATTCCAGATGTTACGAGAGTGGGCCGTGCTATGCACGAGTGTAAGTGGCGCTTAGGTTTTGGGACACAGAACCACTCATAAACCACACATAGTGTCTTAGGGGCTTTTATTGACCGAAAAATAAAAAGATTAATGAAGTCAGAAGCCCATAAATACAAGTTGTCATTTGTTGAACGCAGCAAACACAGTTGACAGAGGCTGAAGAGAGCGCCCACTCTTGTTTACCTTACCTACCACCTACCTCTACCCCCACCTTCTTCCTTGACCAGGCATTTGCCACTACTTACTTCACTTCTACTAGTCTAAATTTAATGGCAGCAAGAGCAACCAGAGTAGGTTCTTCATAGCTCAATTTTTAATGGCCTATTGTGCAGAAGAACAACAAAGGCCGTATTTATTTACCTACTTTAGGATGCTCTCACAAGATATTATTAGTATCTGGAAATGTGACCATAAAAGCTGTTATAAAAGCTTTAACAGCTTGAAACTGGGCCAATTGGTCAGGCTCAGATGAGTTTGCTAGTATAACTACTTGTTCATGAACCATACACAAGGATGAAAGCAGGGAAATTCCTGTCTATTTTAGGCATCAGAACTCACACTCATATGTTAGGAAGAGACCAGAATTTGCAACTCATAATCTTGTCAGCAACCCCAAGTTTCCAACCTGTTCTTTGAGAGTGTCATAAAGAGTCTCAACAAGATTGAGTAGGAACCCATCCGAGCCGTGTTTTGCCAACAAGGAAACTGACACAGGTAGTTCATCATGCAGGCCTAGTGGTATGCTAACCTGCAAATATGTAGAAAGAGATGACATTACTTTCACAAGATATTTGGCGTAATTGAGGAAGGAAAAGACTGTAATGTGTCACATTTGGCTCATGCCCGAACATGCACTCATGGAAAGAGGGGGAGAGAGAGAGAGAGAGATCTACAGAGGGTTAAAAAACCTGGCAGAACCCAGATACTCCGGCAATGGATAGCAAGCTAAAAGCCCTGGCACGGAAAGTTTCCAGTGTAGTAGGATCTGTTTGCAGTTTTGGTGGAGCCCCTGGAACAGTAGGAATTGCGAGGACACCAAAATCCTAGAAGAAAATCAAGCTAACAGGTTATAAAGGAAAGTAAGATGCAAGGTTATCTCTGTTACCAAATTATCTCAAAACTAACACTGAGTAGCAACAAATAACAATCTTTCAGTCTCTCTACTCTAACCAATCTGAAAAGTATGAGGAAATATGAACAATATTCTTCATTTGGTTCTTGAGAAAACAAGACCATTGAAATGACATGGGAAAGTTCTCATTCTGTTTCTTTTGGCCTGAGGGAAAATCCTCGTTTAAGGTTGTTTTTGCAGGGGAACAACGTCAGGTATTTTGAGTAAGAATGAATCAGTTCTTCAATATGATTGAAAAAGGCTCCCTTTATGTTTGAGATGGCATATACAGGAACTGGATGAGCCAGATTCATTCAAGTAAGATTAATCAAAGCTTTACAGCAATGATACAAATAGTCTTGTGCTCTCATCCTTCTACAAAACATGTTTCTCCCAAAATCGTTTTTCGGAGAAGAAACGTGAGTCAAATGGAACAGAGCTACTGTTCTGAACATTCAAGAGAATCCGACCAAATATTGTCCATGTGCATAGGCAGGACATGTAAAAACAACATTGTATACTATGTTACTTAATGCATACAGGCATCCTTGACACCTCCACAAGAAACTTTGTCAAGAATAATAAGGATTTGAACTCATTTGATTTTAAGTGTGGGATCATCACATCCCAAAAAGAAGATTTGCATGAGAGAGAGAGAGAGAGAGAGAGAGAGAGAGAGAGAATACCCCAAGAAGGTCAGTAAGAGCAACACGTAATTCAGTCTTCACAGATTGACATACATAGACATTTTCATCTGTTGTTCGAACAGCTTCCCATACACGTTCTGCTATCCCAGGACCTAAATCAGGTCTGACTGTACTGACCCATTCACCATGGTTGTTCTTGAACTCATACCTGTGCTCCCAATGATATATTTAGAACACAACACCAAAGATAAATTGAATTTCATTAATCAACATAGAGTAATCACACTTTTATATTCAAGTCCACCAAGTCAGCACCTTTGAAGTAGACGCATGGCACTTGATAGGGCTACCAAGGATGGAATATTATACTCTTGACCTGCATTTCCTTTATCCAAGAAACAGTTCAAGCTTGGAACTTTGTCCTTGACAACGTCCCCAAGGTTAGCATGCTTTATAACATGACCTGCATTAGTAGATAAAATAAGTGAGCTTCTTCTTTCCATATTATGATGGCGTCTTTATTGTATCTCAGCAAGAGACCTAACATAACCAAGTTAAGAGGATGATGATTTTCAGGTGATAACATATCTGCTCCAATTTAGATGGTATATTTGTGACTTAAAATGCTGGGAAAAAATAATTTGGACTCAATAATGTATGAATTAAAATGCTTATAGCTGGACCTAAAACAGATCAATATGGTCAATTCACTTACCCCCAAATAACTTCTCAACTGAGTCAACAAGTACTTGTTTTACTCGATTGCTTGGAATGCTTGAAAGCTGGAAACAGTCATCCGCAATGATTAACTGAGTAGGTCCGACAGGACTCATATCAGACAATTGCAGTAACACTCTTCCAGCTCTATTCAAAATCGCAGGATTCCTGGCAAACCATCCTAGATCAGAAGTTGGTGTCAAAGGGATGATTTTCAATTGCAAGAGTGCTACATATTATAAAGCTCTTATGTTGCAACTAGAGATACATCATTCACAAGAGTAAAGCTTTCTGAAAAATAGCATATTTCCTAATACTGAAACTTAAATTTACAAAAGTATCACAAATAATAATCAATCAAAACGCAGAATCCATGGATAGCATATGAATCATCAGGTGGAAGAAGTTATCTGCTTCCAAAAATAGAAATAAAGACTATATTTTCCCATTATATCAAATTGAGGGAAGTCCGAAACAGAGTTTTTTTGTCATATCCAAATATCTCTGGACTGCAATAAAATAAAACACTTGATTTCTTACCCACAGTATCAAAACTTTGTGCCATAGGAATAACTCCAGAAGTAGAAATGACACCATGAGATGGCCGAAATCCAAAAATTCCACAATATGAGGCAGGAACTCTAACACTTCCTCCAGTGTCAGTTCCTGAAAAAGTGAGTTTCTTGTGCTTCAACAAAAAGAGGCAAGAAATACAAAAGATCGTACAAGAAGGAATAACTTACCTAAGGAAAAATCTGCAAGGTCTCCACCTACTACAACAGCAGAGCCACTAGATGATCCTCCAGGCACCCTATCCGGTGCGCATGGATTTATGGGTGTACCATAATGCTTGTTCTCTCCATTTATACTGCCAAGAACACAATGTGAAATTCTGTCAAGTTACAAAATTAAGAGCCTTCTTTCCTACAGCTCTTTATTGCACGGTATCATTGTTCAAATACAAAATACTACGAAAATAGACTTATATAGATTGTTTTGTTGCCATTTCTTGCAATCAAAATAGTAATTCAACTAACCTGTATGCCATTTCATCCATGACAGTTTTACCATTACATGTGGCACCTCCCCTCAAGATTGCCGAAACAGCTGGAGCTGTCGATTCGGAAGCTGGGTGAGTCCTTGCCCAATCAGGATTTCCAAATCCAGTCACATATCCAGCCACATCAAATCTGCTTCCAAGTTGAAATTTAAGTGAGGAAACAAAAAAATTTAGCTTTACCACAGATACACACATGAAAAGATTGCGCAATTCAGTACCCTATCAATATGGTTTTACAAAACACATAAACGCACACAAATCACATAGATACAGCCTAATAGCTAAAAAATCATTTATAGTTTGTACAAACACTCACACAACACAATCACAGAAACACACAAAATGGTTTACTCAAGAACAGTGATTGATTGAAACCAAATCTGAAATTGGCAAATAAGAACGAAAACATAGAATTTAAGCTGCATAAACCAAATGAAAGAGTGATATATTGAGGAAAACTTGAGAGCACATGTATAGATTACAGAGTGGCTCACATGTCTTTGACAGCAAAAGTGAGGCCACTCAAAGGAAGGTCATGTGATGAAGAGTGTGGTTGCAGAACGAATTTCTCCATGAAAGCTCCATAATTTGAGCCTATCGCCATATCTGCTACTGCTCTGTCAGACAAGCCCAGCACTGATCAGTCATATGATACGATTATATCCAATTACACATTTCCGCATAACGGGCCGTTGTAATTCTATTTCAACCACAATGACGAGATTACCCTTTAAAGTGGATGAGTTAGTCGCGTCGGGTCAGTAAGGGCAAAGTGGAAAATCCAGTGATTGGTAGGGTTACGTTTATAGGTCGATAAAAGTATTTTTGAGTTATCAATTTTTACAGTCCCCTTCTATTGAGGGATCCCTCAAATAATTTTATTTGAGGGACGCCCTTTAAGGTACCCTATAAATTTTTTCCCAATGATCCAAACCATCTATTTTTAAGTTCTTCATTCATAGATTATCCTTACAAAAAATTAGACAAATCGAAAACCGTTTCGACATCCAATTGTGTCTTACAAAATCAATGAACACGATACTTCAAGAAAATACTAAAATTTCTATAACTCAAATGAGTTGTCAAATGATATCGGATTCAAGTAATTTTTTGTAGAGATGATCTTTGAATAAGTATGTACAAAATAGACGGTTTGGATTAGTGAAATACAATCCGGAATGAGGCCTACAAGAGGTGTCCCTCAAATAAGCTTATTTGAGGGATCCCTCAATGGAAGCTCTCTGTCAATTTTTATTTATTTAATTTTAAAAAATCTCTACGCATTCTTCTCTTCTCATCTCTGGCTTACATCCCTCATCCTCTTACTCTTATCTATCTCAACTTCAAAAACAACCACATTGTAGTACCTCAAAAGATTGTCAATATGCAAACAACCCACTAGTGTAGGTTTGGAGCAATTACTTCCTTAGAAAAAGTCATGAATTTGAGTTCTAGCATTCGTGTATAGTAAATTTATTTACCGTTATTGAACTCTTAACCAAAAAACATAAAATGAAAATCCGAAAAACCAAAATACCCAAAAAAAAAAAAACATTACGTCATAATTGAATTATGTTGATGATGTCAATGTAGTCCACAAGAGTCAAACACGTTGGATAGACCAAGAAAAAATAGTAAAAGCCCATGAAAAAGATGGGAATGCAGGCTCTTATATTTTCAAGTACCGATGTTAACTGTTCGCTTATGGATCCAATACAAGTACAGTGTATATCAGTGAACACAAGAATGCAAGTGATTGTTTCATACATGTTAAGATGAAACTTTCAATCACTACAGTCGGAGTCATAAAAAATATACAAGTAAGGGATCGCAGGTCTGTGTTCGGCAAGTTCTCCTTCTGTAGGCTCCGTAGTTACTCCTGGAGCACTCCAACCTAAGCGTTGCATGCACACAGCATCGTATGCTTCAATGTTCAAACCCGAAGCAAGAAATATCTCCACCTCATTTACAAACCGATCAGTTCTTGCTGCTAGGAAAGGCCTTGCTGCATCAGAGATTGATTCTTGAAATTCTCTTTGTTTGGCTTCAGGTGTTTTCGTTTGACCCTTTTGTTCGTGCCTAAAAAATGCAGGGTTCAGGCAGGCAAGTTCAGACACAAAGATTATTGAAACTCTGCAGGTTTTCAAGCCTTCAAATAGTATATCCCTTTTCATATCTCATCCAAAAGAACTCAAAAGAAGGTGACTAAACCGGGAAACGTCATTCAATATGATCAAATCATTTTTCAATTGGAGATCCAAACGGTAACAAATTTCACCTAGTCAGGGATGAATGAATCAGCCCATGTATGTGGTGCATAATGATATCAACATCTTCCTCCTACAAGAAGCAAAAGAAGCAAGTTAGCTATAAAGAGGATTAAAATGGATTTCCTGCCACGTCTGTCGTCGATAAAGATAGATCATATGCATAGTTTTATGATTTAGCCAGTTGGACTGGGTGATTCTAGCCAAAAACAAACGAAAGTCTCTAGGATGTTGAAACAATGAAATGTGCCTTATGTCACCAAGAGAGAAAATTCAAGCAAGAAGAACTCAAGACCTGCATCAGAGCTTGGATTTCCCTTCTCAACCAACTTTGGAGCCAGCGATTTGGCTGAAGATACTTATGGGATTTCCAATACCGCAAGACATCAAATATGTCATTTAAGAAACCTGACTGAAAAACAAAGTTAACTGGAAGACATCTAGACCGGTGATAGCGATTCTCAGGATATAAAATAAGAAACAACACAAACAATAAATCAAATGACAAGCACAAAACCTGGTTCAGTATAATAGCATTGTAATCTATACTTGTGATCTTTTGATAAGATAAAGCTGCAGATACCAGTAACGAAACATACATAAGTAAATTACATTTACAACACAGACACATGCGAAAAGAAAAGAAACAACAGAACCCATACCCAGAATCCTGGTTGATGTAATGCTTCTGAAAAGAACTTCCATCATATCCATGTATTATTGATAAATTTGCAGTCTGCGCCAAGCCACTAAAAATCAGCACTATGACTAAATTTAGAAGTGGTATACCCAAACACTCGTGTGGTCAGTAATTTTTCGCAGCATAAGAAACAAAATGGAGCAGAGTATGATAAATAGAATGCCATATGAACAAACTGGCCTTGCAAAGAGGACACTTTACAGACGTAGGAAGGCAAGACTGCTTGTGAGCAACAACTTTGGTCCAACGTAAGATGCAATTGTAACAAAACTTATCTGCAACACAAAATTTGTCAATTTATGAGGCTCAACATATGAGATAATACAGTGCAGGTACACTCATACAACAAGACCGAGTTTATCAAGCATTATAGCTTATCAACTACAGGAAACATAATACTGAAGCTTACAGCATGACCGCTTACAGCTATAGAAAAAGGAAGCCCTAAACTTTTTAACCAAAATCAAATATAAATTAAACTTTCATCAGTCACAAATATAAATTAAACTTTCATCTGTCTTACTAATAGCAAAAATTCATTACAGGCAACCATAGGAAAATCTTTCACCAATTTGGTCTCTTTATGACCCTTTCAGATTTCTTGGAGAAACCAAATTCATGAAAACTGAAAACAAATATCGATACACCGACTTACCATTAAAAAACAAAAATTAAATTCCATCCCACCGTTTGGTTGCAGAGAAAATTACAAAAACTGGGTCTTTTCTTTCGTTTTATTCTCCTTTCAGTTTTCCCAGATTCTAAACAGAAATTGAGAGAGAGAGAGGGAACGTACGGAAACACTTGTCAAGGTAAGAATCTTGAATTATGGGTCCGAGGCAAATGGGACACGGATTTGAGTCCTCTGAAGAAGAAGAGCTGGTGTTCTTGTTCACATTCAGCTGCTCCATGTCTGCACCTTTAATTCACTATCCTTTATTTTCTTCAATGTTCATTCATCATCACCGTCTGGTTATTATTATAGCTGTGCCGCAAACAATGTCGTTTCCTTTTCTTTGTATTTTTGGTTGAGGATCCACAAATCGTTTAACTACAAGCATAATTGGAAACCAAAAGTATTTCAATCGTATAGCCGCGCGGCTATACCTTTTAAATATATAAGAATATTAAAATATTCTAATATATTTTAGCAGTATAGCCGGTCGGCTATACTATTTAAATATTCGAATATATTTAATTAGTATAGCCGAACGGATATACTCTTTGAAATATATTCGAGCATTTAAATAGTACCGCCGTGCGGCTATACGCTTTGAATATATTAGAATATTTATATCGTATAGCCGCTCGGGTATACGCTTTAGGTTAGCCGGGG